CAAATAATGGAAGCGAAATATGTACTTTCCTGATTTTTGATGAAATCTCGGCTAATCTCTTTCCATTTCCTTCTCTTTCCATTTCTTTCCATTTCCTTACTATTAACGTGTACCCGGAAGTGAAAGATTTCCCCTACAAATTTCGCTTCGCCTGCAAATAATGGAAGCCGATTACTCAAGGCATATTTTTCACCTTTTACCGTGCGTAATGGGTTTACTGGGTGAAATCTCAGCTAATCTCGTTCCATGTCGGGTTTCTTGATTTTTAGGAAATCTCTACTAATTTCTTTCCATTTCCTTTCCATGTCTGGTTTCTTGATTTTTGGAAAATCTAGGCTAATTTCTTTCCATTTCCTTACAATTAAATGTACCCAAACAATGGAAGAGAATGATTGGGTTTCTGGTGAAATCTTGACTAATTTCTTTCTATTTTGGGTTTCTTGATTTTTGTGAAATCTCGGCTAATCTCTTTCCATTTCTTATGCACAAAGATTTTCCTTGCAAACAATGGATGCCAAAGATTTCCCCGATTAAAAGCAAAAGATTTCCTTGCAAACAATAGAAGCGAAAGATTTCCCCCCAAACAATGGAAGTGAAAGATTGACCGGTAAACTGCGTATAATTTTTCCCAATTTTTGTAAAATCTCGGCTAATCGGGTTTCTTGATTTTTAGGGAATCTCAGCTAATCTCTTTCCATTTCTTTACTATTAGAGTGTACCCAAACAATGAAAGCGAAAGATTGGTTTCTTGGTGAAATCTCGACTAATCTCTTTCCATTTCGGGTTTCTTGATTTTTGAGAAATCTCGGTTAATCGGGTTTCTTGAGTTTTGGGAAATCTTGACTAATCTCTTTCCATTTACTTACTATTAAAGTGTATCCAAACAATGAACGTGAAAGATTGTGTTTCCTAATTTTTTGGTGAAATCTCGACTAGTCTATTTCCATTTCGGATTTCTTGATTTTTGGGAAATCTAGGCTAATCGGGTTTCTTGATTTTTGGGAAATCTTGGTTAATCTCTTTCCATTTCCTTAGGGGCCATTTGGATACCTGAAAATATATTGTCTGTGAAATATATTACGGGCGTAATACATTACCTGCAAATGGATTGTCACTGTTTGGGTAGTATCTAGATGCAACTTGGAAAATACATTGATATTGTTTGGCTATGTCAAGAAGAAATATGAGAAATGCATTACCATCCAAAGATGAAAAATATGGCTATGTTTGGCTTACATGATTAAACTTTGGTTTCAACATGATAAGTCATTGGAATAACATAATTTTATTGTGATAAGCCTTATTTTTATTTATTTATTTATAGAAGTCTTCCAAATGTCTCTCTATATATAATTTTAAATGAGCAATAAATTTATGATACCAAAATCAAAATCTTTATGGTACAAATTAAAAAATGGGAAGAAGTTGGACTAGTAAACTATAAGGTTTGATAATTGCAATAGAAAATTTTTAAGCATTGGAGGAGACTAAAGAGGTATCTTATTTCAATTGAGTTTTTACTAATATCTTATGCGGATTATGTTGTGTGAAATTTTTTATTATGATTGTGTTGTGTAATTTCTCATCGATTACCAATTATTATTTTTATTATTTTTATTTTTATACTAGAGCTAATAGTGGGCTGCAACCCAAATTGGGGATAGAGGGATGTAGAAATATATTTATTATGATTGCAGTACAAAATTGTCCTAATCAAGTTCTAGATAGAGGGATGTAGAAATTTTTTTATTATGATTGCAGTAGAAAATTGTCCCTAATCAAGTTCTACAACTGTTCAAATTAATTTAGATTTCCCCTTATTTTCACTTATCAATTATTAAAATTTTTTATTTTTAAATGAGAGTTGGGTACCAATTATTAAAAAATTTTATTTTTATATGAGAGTCAGATGATGGCTACAACCCAAATTGGGGTTAAAGAGATGTAGAAATTTTTTATTATGATTGCATTAGAAAATTGTCCTCGTACACCTGTTCAAATCAATTTAGATTCGTCTTTTCATATCCCCTACCATGAGAGAGGGAAATGTTTTTTTTAAGTGGGCAATGTCTGTCTATTTCCTTACCATTTCAAATAGTGTAAATGTCATATTTTCTTGTAATCTATTTGTCACGTAATAGATTTCCACATACCCAAACGGCCCCTTGTAATCTATTTGTCACGTAATAGATTTCCACATACCCAAACGGCCCCTTATTATTAAAGTGTATTGCGAAAGATTGGTTTCCTAATTTTTGGTGAAATCTCAACTAATCTCTTTTCATTTCGGGTTTCTTGATTTTTGAGAAATATTGGCTAATCTTACTATTTCGGGTTTCTTGATTTTTGAGAAATATTGGCTAATCTTACTATTAAAGTGTATCTGAAAGCGAAAGATTTCCCCCCACAAACAATGAAGTGGAAGATTTCTCCCGATTACCTTCCAATAGTAACCAAAACAATGGAACCAAACAATGAAAGCTAACGATTTCTCCACAAAAGGAAGCCAAAGATTTATGTGCAAACAATGGAAGCAAAAGATTTTCCCCTGGCCAAAGATTTTTTTCGATTATCGTTGTAAGTAAAAGATTTTCCCTTGTTAAAGATTTCCCCGGTTTACTTTCTAATGGTAACCAAAACAATGTAACCAACAAATGGAAGTGAAAGATTTCCCTTGCAAACAATGGAAGCGAAAGATTTCCCCGTAAACAATAGCGAGACATTTCCGCCCAGATGCAAAAGATTTTCCCTGGCGAAAGATTTCCCCTATTACTGTTGCTTTGATTTCCCCTGCAAACAATGGAAGTGAAAGATTTCCCCGTAAACAATAGTGATTCCCCTATTACTGTTGCTTTGATTTCCCCTGCAAACAATGGAAGTGAAAGATTTCCCCGTAAACAATAGTGAGTCCGCCCAGAAGCAAAAGATTTTCCCTGGCGAAAGATTTACCCGATTACTGTTGAAAGCAAAAGATTTTCCCCTGCTAAAAACTTCCTCCGATTACCGGTCAACATGCCACCTCTCGAGGTGAGGAGCGCAAGAGGGGAGCAGGAAAGATCCCGGATTCTCTACTTCACTATCCTTGATTTTGTCGATTATGTCATAGGGATTGAGGGAGAATGTTATGTGTCACATAGTTATGAGAAGTTTGGATCAGGTCCTATTCAAATATGGTTCCCTTAAAAAAAATTCATCTTAGAAATATATGAAGTATTTAAAATCGGAAAAAGTTTATATAAGGTTGCAACCTTAAAATGTAGAAATACATATGCACCTCAAAAGTCATCGAAAAAGGTTGTTTTAATGTTGAAAAACCCTGTAATTGATCATTTCGACAACAAAATGTATGAATATGAAAAAAGAAAAAAGATTTTGAGTCCCAAAAATAATGCATTTTGCAGCACATTATCTATACCATCCATTTTCAATATTTTTATGTTTTTATAGAACTATTTGATTTTAACCAGTTTTGGAGTTTACAATTTTATAATTAGATATGAAAATCCTAAAAATGCTTTACACCAAATTTATACGTTACGATAAAATTTAAAGGTGTGCCTTAATTGCATTGTCTAAGGTTGCAACCTTATAAAAACCACACCCTTTTAAAATATATTGTAAATCAACCTAGACCCTTTAAAATATATTGCAAATCAATCTAGATTGATTTGTACTTTAGATTCATGATTTTACAACCCAAAATAATACGTCACTTATGATATGTAACGAGTTAAAATGAAAAGTCACTAACAAAAGTTTAAAATAATCAAAATCATTTTATTTGGATTTATAAGACTTAATTTTTTTTGGAAAATACTGACCTAGGGATGCAGCCTTATTATAATAATTTATTCGCTTAAAATAATCAAAATCATATATTAGTTTATTAGTAGATTTAATTAAATTTAGAATCAGTTTTTTAATTAAAATACAGATTTGAAGCTGGCGCTGTTAGTAGACTCAGAAAAAAATTGGATATATATAAATCTGGGATTTTCTTGAGCCCATAATTTAAGCGACCCCATTATCTCTACTTTTTTCTTAAAAAAAACTGATTTTTTACTAAGATTTGAGCTGATATCATTCTAGAAGCCGATACAGATAGGAGCGTAAACAAGAAACTTTCACTATGGAAAAAGTTTATATAAGGATGCAATCTTAAAATGTAGAACTATGGATGCACCTCAAAAATCCATTGGAAAAGGTAGTTTTAATGTTGAAAAACCCTTTGATTGACCATCTCGACATCGAGATGTATGATTATGAAAAATAATACATTTTATAACATATTATCTACACCGTTTATTTTCAAGATTTTCATATGTTTATAGATCTACTTGATTTTAACCATTTTTGAAATGTAAAATTTTATAATTAGATATAAAAATAGATGTTGAGATAATCGTAAGAACATTTTACATCAAAGTTATATATCATGATAAAATTTGAAAGTGCACTTTACTTCTACGCCCACGATGCATCTGTGTGCCAATTGCACCCTTTTACTATGAAAACAATTTATATAAGGATGCAACCTTATAATGTAGCACTACAGATGCACCTCAAAAATCCAAAAGAGTAGTTTTAATGTTGAAAAATAATAGAGAGAGATAGGTGGGTGCATAGGTGGGGGATAATTTGGACGCCCCTTGCCCAGTGGGCTCAGACTGACTCAGCCCTCCGCTGAAGCGTCATGCGAACAAACAAACGCCACATAATAGAACAAACTCATCTAGAGCATCTAGACCGTCGAAATACCAGGACATCTAGACCGTCGATATAGGGGCGGGGAGAATGAATCGCCCTTTTTGTCCCGATTGATGAAAAATGAAAATAGACGGATTAAAATCCTCGTGAGCCATTGGTGCGATTTGAGGCCCACAGTTGCTCTGCTGAGGGAGAAGATATCCTCTGCTTTGCTTTAGTGAGAGAAAGAGAGGAGAGAGAAAGAGAGAGACTCCTCATGAGCGAGGGTACCTACTGGAATGGAGGCGGCAAACTTGCTCTTCACTCATGTAACCATGGCTTCGAAGATTCTCGTGAGACCCATTCATACTGCTCCTCCTTCTTCTTCAGGTACTTCGAAAATTCTCCACTCTTTTGAGGTGTGGCTCACTATCTTCCCTCCAATTATTCGAAGTTTCGCTCTCTTTCTCTGTGAATGAGTGTGTGAATGGTGCTTCCTCAGTAGAGATTTTCACATTTTGAGATTTGTATGTCTTTTTTCTGTAAAATGATATGATAAATATATGAATGGAAAAATATGTTATGCTCAGAAAGGTACTATAGCCTACTATATCTCATGTAATTTCACATAAGGAACACTGTTCTTTTATGAATTATTCATCCCAAACTTCTTCTCAAGTTTTGCACTCTCTACAAGAATAAAAAGAATCTCAAGTTTTATGTCTTATCATAGAATAGCATTTTGAAAGCTTCATGACTTTGTCAGCAATTGCACTTGTTTTGTTTGACATACTCAACTTTTTCGTTCCCTCGCATTGTCAACATGTGTCTCCAATGCATCTGCACCCGTTAATATTCTCATACACTTTCCAATTTCCATTCCTTTGAGTTCATTTTTGTAAAAAATATGGTTGGTAGTATCTGCAATAACTCCTGTAGAAAATACATACAGGTAATAAGAAAGTGATGTCTTAAGGTGAATAGGTATTTGTAACTTTGTTAGATAATATATTGTGTGTTCTATTCATTTAGTATTTCAAGAGATGAATAATTTATTGAATGGAGGTTTTAGAAAATGAGAAAGGAAGCGTAATATGCAGATTGGCCTAATAGATCTTACATAGAGGCATTTGGTTTGTGGGATACAAAACTACTAGCAAAAACTCAGCCTGAAATTCCTGAGGGACACACATTGAGTAAGAAGAGTGCTAGTGGTCTCAGGCTCTTAGCAACATGGTGATTTCACATTTAGTTGATCCATGTTGTTCTGAAGTAAAGGGATAAGTATTGATGTATTGTTCCATGACTTCTAATGGTCTTAAAACACATGGGGTGTTACTCTTCTTCATGTGTTAGCACTTCAGGTCATATTTTTTATAAATAAATTGAGAACCATATGGGACTAGTTCATTAAAAGGGGGTGATAGATAATCTTTCTGCCAGTACGCTGAGCACCCGATGTGTATGCCTACCTATTTTTTGATCTCTTTAGGTTTTTAGCACCCTATTTGTGGGCCACCAAACATTTTTTGATGCCCAGATTTTTTGATTCCTTTCTTATTCTTTTATTTATTTGTACAAAGCAGCCAGCAAGTGGGTTTCCTCAATCTCATGCCTCTTGAGGATTTTGTATGCCTATACATATATATAATGTGAACTTCTTCAATAAACTAAGATGCTGTATTAACAAACTATTAAAAGTTGGATTTGCAATCTTTTCAGATAGACAATCAATGTAGAACAATGCATTACAAAAAAGAAACAAAGGGTATGTTTAACAAAGCGAATTAGAGTCTGTACAATAAAGATGAGGATGGACCAACCAGCTGGTGATGCGAACGAGTTACTTAGATTGATGGCATTAACATCAACCTCCATAACATTATGAGCAATGCTATAATCCAGTAGATGCATAGACATCTTTACAGATGCTAGTTTCTTGATTTTTGATCGGCTAAGATGCTATGTTCTTTGAGGGCAATTTTTGATTATTCTCATGGATAAGAGCCATCATAAACTTTTATATTTATGATATGGTTATGAAAGTTGATGATGACCTTATCATGAGTATCTCTGTGACTTCATTCCTAGCGTGACTAGCAAATAACTTAATAGTGGATGCTTCTCTTCAGCTTAATTCAGGGTTTTCCTCTGGATGGATGACCTTATTCTTGATGACTCACCATGTTAGCTAGTCAGTACCCCCCTTAAGAAGTTTCGACATTGTCCATGCTCTTCATATCTGCACTTAGTTCATGGTGTTTCTTTGGAGTCACTGTTAATCAACTTCAGTGTGTTACTTATGCTAACGCAACTCTAAGCAATGGACTACTTTCACATTGGTCCTGTTGGAGTTTGTTGCCTACTCATATTTTTGAATAAATGGTTTGATGCACTTCTCTCAACTACAGATTTTTGGATCTCCCTGTGCACTTATTTCTTGAAACAAAATGAAGCAATATATGATATGTAAATCAAATTGAAACTTGAATATTGTCAATGCCTCTGACACAAGTAATATTGTTCAGCTTTATGCTGTCCTCTAGGGTTATGGTATTCCCATGCTGGTTCCTACACTGCTTTATTCTGACAACATCATTGCAAATTGGTATCTAGGGTTATGGTGATGCAGTAGTATTTCCTGATGGAACTGTGATAGTTGTATAATCTATGGGCGGTATAATTATACTGTTTCTATGCATATCTTTATCTACATGTGGACTTTTTCGCTAACTAAGAGACACAAATTTAACTATAAAAAAAAAAAACAAACTAAGAGACAAATTTTGTTGGCAAATGGACCTTATTTTTATTTGGTGGTGGTATGATTGTTATGTTTCCTAGTACTGGAAGGGCATTTTTTTCATTCCTTGGCATTGTAGGATCCAGTTCCCTTAGTCGTTATACATATCCACAAGGGGAATTTAGTCTTCATATATGAAATATGCTTTTGTGAGGCATCTTGCCTTGATGTAAGTTACTGATAAATGTTTCTTTTAGAACTATTCTTGAACTTGGCACTCTTAACACATTATCTGTTTCTAGAAACAGTTTTTTAAAACTTATAAGCAATGTATTAAGTGATGATCTGCTTGTTAGGTAGCACTTTGAGATGGGACGAGGCCCGAGGTGGACCAACGTCCTAGGCGCCCTTCCTAGGTTAGGTGGAGTGCCTATGGCTAGGGCCCTCTAGTAGCACCTAGGCTGGTGCCTATTGCCTTGGCCCAGGGCAGGTGCCCTTGAGGCCCTGCTTGGGGACGGAAAAAGGCCTTAGGGTTGGGGCATTCTTTATTATTTTCCTCTATGAGCAAGGGTTGTTGGGGTGTTCGAACCCTGAAACCCATTTTAACTTTAGAGAGAGAGAGAAAAAGCCCTCTATAAACATGATTTGGGATTTTTTTTTGAAGTTGGCATCTTTTGGATACTTCCAAAATCTTGCAAAAGTGAAAAGATAAAATGATTGTTTGTAACACTCGAAGAGGTGTCAAAGGAGCTGTTTTTCACGACAAAATCTTGCCAATTTGAGCAACATTAATTAGGTTTTGCAAGTTTAGTTAGTTGAAAGAAATTTGATTTGAGCAAAGTTTTGGGCGATCAAATAGTGTTTAAGAAAACACCTATCTGGTTCAGTTTTTAGGGGCCCCGGTCCGGTTTCTAGTTATTTTGGGAACCGGCCGTGTTTCGGAAGAAACAGCCAATTCTGCTACAGTTTATTGTAATGTAAATTATAATTTCATAAATATATTAAATTATCTTTCTGCTTGTTTTCTATGAAATTGTTGTGAAATAGTGGGTGAAAGGTGGGGGCGGGCACGAGATGAACAAGCTTAGAGGATTTTGGGCTAAGTGTGCTGCAATTCACCAACCCTAGGGGGATGCAATATAGTCAGCCAACTACTGCGGCTGACTCCTACATTAACCCACTCTATGAATTGTCTCACCAACTCGACGAGTAGGGACAACATGATGAAGAGGAAAACACTCTCTTTAATTTTAGTATTAAATTGTATTTTTATAATTGTATGCTCCATTTTGGACAACACATTCATATCCATGATGATTGAATGCTCACTTTTTTTGTGATGTGAATGTAATAGTCAACGGACATTAAAATAGGAAACAACATCTTAATATTCACATATTTTTGGAAAATAATGAAAAATTATAATGCACTACCCTCATTTTTTCTTGAAAAGCCCCCCAAAAAGATTATATCGATATTTAATAATTGTTTGATTTTTTTTTAAGGCTGGATCCAGTCGATCCATGGATTCGAAGCTCCGATCTATGGATCTGCATCGGTTTTTTGATGGCTAATTTGGGTCACTGATCTGGGTTTTCAAACATTGCTTCTTACTAAATTGAGAGACTACAGCGAGATCTGGTAGGGTTTGCAACCCTTGATCTTTATTCTGGAGCGCTTTTTAAATGGTTGATGGGCATTCGATAAATGCCATCAATTGCGAATAGAGTCTCTACCTGCACATGGAGCCGACCAAATTTTCAAAAGGATTTATTCTATAAGTGCCAATGTCAGATTTCAATGTTTTGGCGAGGGGCCAAGTGCACTGCAGATGGCATGGCGAAATAGGGGGGGTTCTTAATTCATTTCTACTGCTTAACCTGCCTTGAAAGGTGAGCCCACTGGCTATTTTCCTCATTTATGGATGATTTTGTCATTTGCTAGACCACACAGTGTTTGTATATGTAACGTTCATATACCTATCTAATATAGTTACCCTTACTCAAAAGAAAGAAATCTGCAAATTATGCCTTTCTCAAAACTTTAAGAACAACGTTGCTGATTCTTTATTAGTTCAAAACTCAAAATCGTGGTGCAATTTTTGCTCCTTTTGAAGCTTGGTTTTTATGGTCTTGCTGCACAACTGGTCTATTAGTTCTTTTGGATAGTTTCAGCTTGTTTGGAAAGAGAGACATTTGAACCGAATACTTCTCTCTACAGTTTGGATATCACACCGTTTAGTCCAAGGCTTGGTTGACAGCTGATTTTTATTTTTATTTTATTGAAATAACATTGTATTGTTCTGGGTAAATTTAAACTTGGTACGAGAGAAACAGAATCATGGGCTCGGAAGAATTAGAGGGAGAAACTATTGTACAAAACTTTGGAATCGCGGGGAAACTCCTTAATAGGTGGGTCTTCAAATATTGAGACTAGCACCTGTGACACCCTCTCTGGCAAGGGTGTTTGTCACCCTATTGGCCTCCCTCCAAGTGTGCCTATTGGAAAAGCTTAAAAGCCTATGACAAGATGAGATATATCTCATACAAAAATATCCTCAGTCTCCACAGGCCTGGGGACATAAGCTTAACTCAATTGATCACGTTTTGGGAGTTGCCCTCAAACAAAAGCGAGGAACCCAATTTCTATCAAAGACATTGATACCAGTTGGGAGTGATTAGGCCTTGGTGATGGCTGAATCAGTTGTACCCGAGTATGTTGAGGGTTTTGCCCATGTGATTCTTGAAAATTTACCTCGAGCCAGCCAACCCTGGATTGCTGAGGGAACTTTCGTCAAAGTTCAGCTTGATCGTGTAATTCTCAGGCAGGATCCAATGGGAAGTCCTTGTGGATGGGGGCGACCATGACCAAACAATATGACCTTGTTCCTTTTAAGAGTCAACTGAGGAGTAGGGGTTAAGTTCTTGACAATTGCATTCCCAGAAAATTACTCTGGACTTGATGCAATTCTTGATGTGGTTGAAGTCTCCTTGCTGTAAAAAATGGGCCTATTCTTTTTGTTCCGAATGTTCCAAACTGAAGCAAACCATGGCCCTCCACAAAATAAGGCCTGTGTTGAGGAAGGGAATAGAGGAGTATAACTCAAAGTCTGAATAGATGTGCAATTAAGTGAGGTGCGGCCCAACTCCACCCAAAAAGATTTAGGGCACATGCCTATATTTGTGACTTGGGGTTTGTGGCCTTTAAAGCCCCTGAGAGCATGTAAATAAAAATTGTAGTAGACAATACATTTCAATTAAAGTGTGTGTTTTGGTTGATTGACCTAGGGTTAGGTGGTCTATGACCTTGGTCATGTCCAAACCCTTACTCACGGGCTTATGACACTACTGTTCAAGGTTTCCGGAGGTTCATCCCTTGTTGAGGTAAGAGAAATGCCCAACGATGGTTGGTCGGTCAGGAGAGTTTCTTTATCTTTTGTGTGCAATTGTAAACCTGTGAAAGCAAGGGCTAAATCCTCAACAAACTTTCGCACGGCATATACACACAAGAGCTCTATTCTAGAAAGCAATCCTACAAAGGGATATATGTACATGTGCATAGAGAGAGTCCCTTTTACATTATGGTGATGCATGCATTTGTCATGCTCTTAAGGGGGAACCTGTAATTCACATTTTGGGATTCACTGTTTATTGGCTAGATTTGATGAGCCAATCATGAGCCGCTGCATGAGACTATGTGTCATGGGTCTCCTTGAGATTTGAGAAGATAGTTGAAGTTCATAGTTACTGGGTCAGGTGGATTGTGTTGACAGTCACTTTTCTTGAGTAATTGGTACCAATCCACTTCTAGAAGGTTTTTTTTTACTTTAAAAAATGTTTATTTGAATTTTAGAAAATTTTCAAATTTTTTAAAATTTTTAAAATCATTATTCAGATGTATAAAACCATAGTTGTTGGAAATGCCTAAGAACCCGAATCGTTTTAGGAACTGGAATCGCTGCGGGCTAGAAGATTCATGTCTTAAGAATCGTTGTTCGTACAATAGGAATCTCTAGAAATCAGAATCTTGATTTTTGATAATCGTGTTTTGACCGAAATAGATACTAGTTTGATCAACATATGGAATCGAGATTCCGTCCTCCTTGGAATCGAGATTCCCGTCCTCCTGGAATCAACACTCCAGGAGTCAAGATTCATTAATAAGCGGAATCGAGTTTCCGACATCTATGGAATCGAGTTTCTGATATATGTGGAACAGAGATATGTTGCTGTTTCGAATCGTGATTTTAATATATCTGGAATCAAGTTTCTAAAGTATATGGATCAAAGATCCATGCCAGTTTGAGATCGAGATTTACAATAATATGGACTATGAAATGCGTTTGATGATCCCTACAAGGAATCGAGATTTCATTTTTATGGAGAAGGAAGCCACAAGCACATCTTGAGCTTCATCAACTTTAGAACCTATATTGGATGTCTATTATTAGAATGTTCCTAAATTTTAAAATGACTGTGTTGACAATTGAACTTACGCTCATTATATACAAAAGACAAGTATTTCTAAATTGTGATTTTGACTTCATTATTATAAAGACAAAATAGGATTATGTCTACACCATGGTTTTACTTTTAATTGTATGTGTTGTATTTATCAATTATATTTTAAATTTAAAGTAAAGGCCATCCGGGTGGCACAAGTAAAATAATGAAACCCTGCAACCACTAGAAGCATTCGATGGAAGATTTATACTCCAATTGACATGGAATCAATATTTAATCCTCGCTAGAATCCAGATTCAATATATTTGGGAACGCCTACCCACAATTAATACGTTCAAGTATCTAAAGATGTGTTGGATCGAGATTCCGGGATTAAGGAATCGAGTTTCCTTGGTTCCTATAAATGGTTTCTAAAGAGGTGTTGAATCGAGATTCTGAAATTAAGGAATCGAGTTTCCTTGGTTCAAAAAAATGGTTTCTAAAGATGTGCCGAATCGAGATTATGAAATTAAGAAATCGAGTTTCCTTGGTTCCGAAAAACGGTTTCCGTGGAGATTCCTTAACGAAAATGCATAATCGGGTTTCGGAACTGGAAATTTCTAAAAACTCTTGGGGCGATTGTTCCTTTTAGTGGGACTCATGTCTTGGAGGGACTAAGATCCAAGCTCCGATACATGGGGGACCCACATGGGGTGGGATGTGGGGCCCACATGGGCTACACAAGCCATACTTGGTCTGACAATCATAAAGGATGAGGTCTCCCACTTGTTTGGGAAATCTCCCCTAAGAGATTTTGAGAATAGTTTTTTAGTTAGATGAGGTACCGTGGTGTATGCTGTTTGTGGATGATATAGTTTTGATCGATGAGACTCGAAGTGGTGTCAATACAAAGTTAGAATTGTGGAGGAATGCTCTAGAATTTTAAGATTTTAAAATTAGCAAGACTAAGGCAAAGTATATGGAATACAAGTTTAGTAATAATAGAACAAAAACAAGGAAGTAGTTAAGATTGACGGTCAAGAAATACTAAAAAACAATGCACTTTCGATATTGTGGGTCGATAATTAGAATTAGAGCTGCGTGGACGAAGTGGAGATGTGCAACTAGAGTTTTATGTGATTGCTGTAATACCAATGAAGCTGAAGGGGGAGTTCTATAGGACAATTGTGAGGCGGGTTTGCTTTATGGGGCAGAATGTTGGGCAGTCAAGAAACAACATACCCATAGAATGAGTGTATCTGAGATGAGGATATTGAGATGGATGAGTGGTAAGACAGGAAAGGATAGAATTCAAAAAATACATTAAGGAGAACGTAAGTTTGGCTCCAATTGGCAATAAGATGAGAGAAAGTAGACTTAGGTGGGTTGACCATGTGCAGCGCAGACCTAGTACAACACCTATCAGGAGGTACGAGTTGGTTCACGTGGAAGGCTTAGAAAGGGCAAGGGGTAGTCCCAAGAGGGCATGGTTAGAAGTCGTGATAAAAGATAGGGGACTTATGGTCTCACTGAGGCTATGGTTCTTGATAGAGCAGAATGGCAGATCAGGATTCATATAGCTAACCCTAAATAGTTGGAAAAAGGCTTTGATGTTGATGATGAGAGAATCTTGAGAAAATCTTTGAGAAAGATTTTGTGAGCACAATTTTTGGGACTACAAAATATTTTGTTTGGAAAATATTCTTTCAATCTTTGAATTTGAGGAAATCATTTTGACTTTGAATTCCTACAATATTTTTGTGAGAGAAGAGGAAATTCTTAGTCAAAATAGAAGATGAGCTTTTTACTTGTCTTATCGTAGGTTGACTAAAAGTGGATGTGGGTAAAAAATTTAGGGGATAAGTTCTTAGATTCCTCCCTAAATCATGATGGCTGATTTTTGGGATGGATGACTCATATTTGTGTCTCTTTCACCTCACAGATTACCTAGGAGTCCAATGGACAAGAGGAACTTTAATTCAGTTGGGCCTACCTGAACCCCCTTGGAAGCTATAAATAGGGGGTTGCATGCCTCATTCAAACCACCTAAACTTTCTTAGCCTCTCTCTCTCTCCCCCCCACTCTCTGCTCTAGGGCTCTGTCTCTCATCTCTCTCTCTCTAGTCTCTCAAGCGGGGGGCAAGCACCACCCTGGAAACCCCGAGGGGTGGCATGCATAATCCAGGGCTCACAGAGGGGGCACGCCCAACCTACTTTGAAAAAAAGGGAGGTGCTACTAAGGTAGCATGCTCTAAGAGTCTTAAAGGATTTTTAGAAAACCCTAGATCTAACCCATGCTCCCTTAACCCCTTAAGGCTGTGCCTAAGGAGCTTCCTGACTTAGAGAATTCAGCAGGGCGAAAAGGATTACAGTGCACCACTGTTCAGGTAATTGAGTGTGAGATGCATCAAGTTGTAAGGGGGTGATCCTAGGCAAAGTCAAGTAAGCCTTCCTGGTTGTTCTTGGTTTATTTTCAATCATTATTTCTTAATTTATTGTAATTTCCAGTAACATTATTTGTGTTGGCATTCACAGTCAAAGTTTGTATTTGGCCCTTAAATTGAGTCATTTTTATTTGGCAGTAAAAAGAAAGATCCTATGTTGTTTTGAGGGTTATTTTTCTTAGTTACATCATATTTTTTGTGGCACCTATAAGTGGAATTGAGTTATATTTATTCCCTAGAATTCCACAGCCACTTACTTTCATGTGAAACAAACCTGCAATTGAGAAATGGATGATCTATGTTTTCTTGCACTGCTTTTCATATAGGGCATTAATTAGGTAAGGAGATAACTCTTCTTTGGACTTGATCTTGGGTTAGAGCTTTATTCGATTTAACCAGCCAATTGAACACCTGTACCTTGGGAGGCACAGGGGCAACCCAAGCCCTCAACACAGTGACTGAGCTTGTGGAAAAGGGGATTGCAAACATTGTAAAAATAAGGACCATGAAAGTACCTGAACGCATGGGCATCCACACCTGTTGTCGCCACCTGAATGGGCAATGAAGTGCAAATTTAGGAGGCCCAGCAGAGCACTCAGTTCCACAGCTTCACCGAATTCTCCTGGAAGTAAGCGACCGGACTGTTTGCTCACCCAAATGTTTGTAGTATTCCACTACTTGGGCGTCTTGCTTTGAGGCGACAAGAAAGATGTGAGGCAACTCTTAACTATAAGCGTTGTGAACCCAGCAACACGTACTTCTAGAATCTGCCCTCCAAGAACCCATGTTGTCTAGGAAGCCATCCTATCATTCACCCCTTATTTGTTCTTGATTACCTGTCACCAGAAATGATTCTCTTATGTGGAGAATCTCCACCGCCACTTATCCAATAGTGCTGAGTTGCAATATGCAGCCTTCTAATACCAAGAACACCCTGTTTTTTTTAGCAGTAGTGATGGATTCCCATCGGTACTTATGGGCTTGCCGAGCCCCACTCCATAGGAATGCCTGAATATTAGATAACATGGCCTTCATCAAGGGTATCCGGCCTTCCCAGCACAGGTGCTGCATTTCAAGGCAGCTAGTATTCTTTCAAACTTTTCTACAATTCCATCCCAAAGGGCTTTCCTAGGCTTTCCCACACACAGCAGTAATCCAGCGTACTTGCTGGGGAGGGAGTCCACCCCACAACCCAGTCTTCTTGCCTGGTCTAATGTATTGTCATTGGACAGACCGACCCCCCAAAAGCTTAGTTTTTTCATGTTTACCTTGAGTCCTGTTGAGCATCTGAAACATCTGATGAAAAATCAGAGACTAAACTTTGTTGAAAGCTGATCTGTATCTTTAATCAGATCATTATTCATCTAGACTTTTTCAGCTGTTAAAGTTTGCATAACTGACATTGTAATTTTCTTAGACGAAAATTCTTGCAAATATTTACTTTATGCTTCAACCGTTAGGTGCCTAACGTAATAGTTGGCAATTGGCATATGCTTCTTTACAAACTTATTAACTGTATATTCTTATGACATTTTTTTAACATGGAATGGTGGCATATCTGCATTTGTTCCTTCTTCCATGGTATGTTAATCGTCATGTTCTTTAATTTTCTTTTCAAATGATGATAATATTTTAGTTCTATTATTAAATGTTAATGTTTACTTTATGACTACAGTTTTAACGTCTCCTGACCAAGCTCCTCTCACGGCGACCATGTTGTCAACTACATCAGCAGTTCGACATTTTCCAGCATCAGTAGTTTTACATGAGCAGCGTGATGATTTGAGGTCTCCTACTTCTAGTCCCAAGGAAGATAAAGCATATCAGGTGAAATTAGATGTGTAATTAATAAAAGCTGTCACTTAGTGCAAAAAGAACACCTGCTCTTGGATTTTAGTCAGTTACATTCTCTTTTTTATTTTTGTCGTTAACAGAATCTGTTGAACATAATGTGACTAGAGCAGAGTGAGTCAAACACTTCCCACATCATTGCAGTTAGTTTCTTTTATTTCTAAATTTGTTGCACTGCCTGTGGTGCCGCTAAATTTGACGATGTGGGACAATCTCCCGCTTTAACTTGTTACTTTATATGGGCATGTGAGGGGGAGCGTTTAGGCTTTGAGCAACTAAAGGGGTGGTGGCACAATTGGCTAGTGTGTAGGTCTCATAGCTTTAAGAGTAATCCTAATGTCAAGAGTTCAAACCTCTCTCACCCGAACGTCATTTATTTACCCCAAAGAAAAAAACAAAAAAACTTTGAGCGTGCACAAACTAATTAAATGACATGCAATTAAAAACTTAGAGCGCATGCAAATTAATTAAATGACATGCAATTAAATTTCTTAATTAGATGACGCACAATTAAATTTGTTAGCATATGGTATACTAATTAAATTTATTAGCATATGGTACACTAATTAGGTTACTATATAGAACGCAAATTAATTAAATGACTAATATGGAAATTATATGGTAGGTTTTGTTACCATATTATTATTATTTCTTGACATTCTTGGTCACCGATCCATTTTTTAAAATATGGGATATTTTAAGAGAGAAAAATAACACTAGCTCATACCACTTTAGAATCTATTTTCAAGTTGTTTTATCAATTATCCCATATTTGAATGTATTTATTTAATTTCCTAATTTTATTAAAATATGATTACAAATTTATGTTTCTAAATTCTATATTTCTGTCCAAACTAATTATTATACATTAGATTTATTCATTTGTGAGGGTCATACCCTTGTTTTTTGAACAACCTTTATTATAATGTTGTAATTAATAATTCTACTAAGTACAATGATAACCAAGTCTTATATTTTATTAGTTAATTTATTTAAATTATATTGTTATAGTTGTACATTACATTTTTAACTTAGATGATATTATAAGACAAATTTCAAATTTATTCTTATTTGTATTGTAAAATGATTATTAAATATTAACCAATAATTCTAATTTTAATGTGTAATATTGTAGTTAGTTAGGTTGTGATAATTTTGAACGAGTAAAAAGATTTACTAAATGTTTGATGTGATACTAATTTCACTCTATATAGAAAATTGTCTTCTTTAATCCTATAATATGGAAGAGTTTTCTAATTTTTTTAAATTATTTAGATGTAATTTTATAAAGCTATATAATAATTAATAATTATACAGAGATCCAGACAGGAAAACAACGTCTCAGTATTTACCTATTTTTACAAAATAATGAAAGTACATAATGCACTACTCCCAATTTCTTTTAGAAACTAAAAGAATATTATTTTTAGAGATATATAACGATTTTTTGAAAACTTTTTGGGATAAAACTTGTCGATTCTCCGATCCGATCCACTGATCAGACATGGGTATGGTGAGGCCGATTCGGGTTACCGATCCATTTTTCAAAACATTGGTTAGTACTTAGTACTAGTTGTCTAATCTACTAGTAGTTTAAGATTGAATTTGAATGTTGGATTATATTTTGCTATTTTTCTTAATACGTTATTAACTAATTGTCCAAATCTCAAGTACTTTGGTTTGTCTTTGGAGTTTGGATTGATTCAACATAAAAAAATGTATTAGAAATGTCTCGGTATGCAAATTTTTAACAATTTGGGCCTAGAACAGTTTTTTAAGGCACCTCCTTGTTCTTCCACCTGGGCCTCCACCTGGTGTTTTTTGGAACATTTCTTTCTTGTGATCTTTATGTTTCTTTTAGACATTTAGGCCTGAGCAGAGTGATTTACTTGTCACAATGTAAGTCATTTTGTTGCTATGGTTACTGACTAATATCCATGTTATCTGTTATCTTGAACGTTCACATTTGGAGTGATTGGATGTTTCATTTACGATTATATCTTTGAGGATCTTCTTTTCTTTTCTTGTTACTGGTCTTGTTTCTCTGAAAGAAGTATATAAAACAAATTACAAAAGCTAGCCACTCTCAATGGATTATAAGATCCTAATGGACCTAACACTCTCTACCTATTCCCTCTTGTCCCTGTGCCCATTGGTCCCTGTAGGAACATAGCAACATGGGTGAACTCAAATTATCACAGAAAGAAAAAGAGAAAAGACGAATAAGACATGGTTTCCTTCACCATTCCTAACATGCAGTTCCCTGGTTTCCTTGAGTCATGTATTAATGCTTTCCTTGTAATGCAAACGTTGCTCAAGTCATTGATGACACTACGTTAATCCATTCTATCATAAGAGGCTTAATAGATCTTCCACCATTTATTCTGACCTAAGCAAGTGGGCCTAAGGCTTCAGCCAAGAGGAATTTTATAAACCCCCCTTTTGCCTAGCTTAGCATATTTTGCGTTACCCATTTTTATCTTGAATAGCCATTTTGAATAAGCATACATAAATGCAAATTTCTTCAGAGGTTATCCAAATTAATCTTTGATGTCCTTTGCTATAAGGGAAATCCACACACTTCTAGGTTTTTTTTGCTGCAGAAAACTTGATCTCAGCGCACTGTTGGCCTTCTAACCATTCATCTTCCTCCCTCTTAAAACATTGCTTTTCTTCTCCTACTACTTTTCGAGGATCCCCTCCATCAATTCCACCACAATGATCCCCTTTGTTTCCATGTGGCCCTTGTTCCTTATTGCATCGGAAAACAAGGAAACTAAAAGGAATCCGACTTATGCAAGGAACTTTCGTAGTAGTTCTACACCTCCATGCCATGGAGCAACGGTGAAACAAGTATTCCAGATTGTGACTTGCAGTGTTTCTCATTCTTGCACTGACACACCACTTAGAAATTGTGACTGTGATATACAACTTCCTAAAATGGTGAGGTGTAAGATCTTTTTACAAGCCAACCAAATGAAGGAAGGTATGCTAGTGGGTGCCTCCTGCTCTTCAGGCCATCAAAAAGTAGATATAATATCACATTATAGTTTGGTCAACTGGTTTGCAACCTCGAGGAATGAATGCATGTTTTCTTTTGTTGGTTTTGACAGTTTTAAAGAAAAATGTTTCTAGAATGGCACAACTGGCTGGCTGTTTGTCAATCTCAACTATGGCGTTTATTTTTCTTTTTCTATTCCTAATCTAATGTGTAATCCTATTATTTAAATAATCAGATTATTAGTTGATTGTATTAGGTTTACATATCCTTACTGAGCCATAAGACATGGTTTGGACTTCAGACCTTTATGTCTTTGACTGTCATGGACATCATGATTTTAAATCCGTATGTAATGCCATTCCAGGAAGTGATGGATAGAGCTCGAACGGAGGTCTATGCATCTATTGGCGCAGAGACAAAGAATTTTGAAATTGACCAATATCTCAAGGACTTTGAACGACAGCTACTTTACTGGCCGGCTTTATGGTATTTGTAAGATAACTCGAGCTGTTCTTCCTTTAATTTTACCATGCTTCAATGTCATTTTTATTTCTGCATTTGTGTATTTTACTGCTATTTTGTTGCCTAGTACCTCTTATTTATTTCCGGTTCCTCTTTCATCTGACTTCTCTTCACAGATCTCCATCTCGAATTCTGCCGAAGTCTTTGTTATCCTTACCTTTTCAATGTAAACCTCTAGAGACAGATATAGAAAGTGAAATAAAAGAAAGTAGAAAGAAGCAAACAAACTGTAGCTCATTGAACCCAATGGATGTCCTAGTCCTTGCAAAACGAGCAGTAATGGCATCTAAAGCAGCAGCTGCTTTGGTAGAGCATTCAGATCTCACAGTTGGCAATCCTGATGGAGACATTTCTCCCTGGTTAAACTCTCACCATCTCAATGCTTCCATCATTATATGAAGGATAATTGCAGGTCTTATCACCTCATCTGACTATACTCTAAATCGTCTTTCTTACAGTTCGGGTTTGAAAGAAATTTGTATCCAAGTCCCAGATGAGGACATGAGGACTACAATAAGATCTAAGCGGCATTTAGAGAGGCAAATTAAGAGAAGAAGGGTGCCAAAGAAACTGAAAGATTTCAGTGCAAATTTTGAAATTGGGAAGAAGCCCGAAAAGGTCAAGAATAAAAGCTTCGATCCCAATGATCCCTTGAGGTTCTTTCTATGGGGCCCTATAACAAAACAGCTTTTGACAGAGAAAGAAGAGTCAGAACTGTTTGTAAAAATTCAGGTATATGTCTGGTTCATTATTTGCCCTTGGTCTTATCCTATTGATTCAAGCTTTATACTGCACGCTTGTGAATATGTATACCACTGTCAATTTTAAAAGAAAATGTGAGATTTGGTTATAAAATAATTTTCTTTTCACTTCGCTTTTGAAAAAATATGTTTTGTTTGTTTTTTTCCTTCTTCAATTTTAGGACCTGATGAGAGTTGAGGAAGTAAAGAAAGAATTAGAAATGCAGTTTGGTTGTGAACCAACCGTAGTTGAATGGGCAAGAGCTGCTGGGATGAGTTATGGGTCATTGCAGTCTTGCATCCACTTTGGGAGGAAAAGCAGAGAGAAAATGATATATGCAAATTTCCGCTTGGTAGTCCATGTTGCTAAGAATTACCAAGGACGAGGGCTGAGCATTCAAGATCTTCTGCAGGTGAGTCTGAGAAATGTATCTTCTTAATATTATTGTCCAATTTCCTCTTTTCCTTTTGGGAAAACTAATCAAGAAACTTTGTTCTTCTTCATTGTTGTTTTATTTGATATTATTGTCCAATTTCTAAAATTTTAGAAACTACTTAGGGCTATGTTTTCCCACACAAAAAAAAAAAGAAAAGAAGAAAAAGCTTACGTAGAGCTAGGATAACCCTAGATGCAATAGGTTGGACTCATGCGAATTAATCTAGGATATCAAGTCACCAAATTAAATGCTTAGATGGCTTTTACTTAGAAACTGACAGTACACGATAGACTCCAGGAGTTACTTTGGATGTAAAATAAGGAGTTACTCTGTCTGCTAACTTGTATGATTTGGTGAGTGCTACTGATTCAAGTTGTCTAAAAGATTACGCAAAGTTTTCCTTTTCCGTCTAAATTGGCCAGACCAAAGAGGAAAAGAGGTTGAAAGTGAAAAAGGGGGAGAAAATTAAAGGAAATTGTATAATCATTAAAAGAAAAACAAAAGTGGCTGACAGAATATTTAACATCTTGCTGAAGCCAATTTGGGCCACATCATTCTCTTTGGCCTATGGCCTAAGCAACTTCTATATATCTTAATAGGCCAGGTGTTTACACACGATTCCGAGAGTGACCAGACTACTCTAAGTCTGATTTATCTGAGAGTAGAAGAGGTGAGTTCCGTCAAATTACGATTTATGAGCAGATCATTCTTGAAAGACCTCTTTTCTCACAATCGTCTGTCGAGTTGGCTTAGTTTCATGTAAAATCTGAAAAGAAATGCAAAACAATAAATGAAAGCAGGCAAAAAGGATAAAGATGAATGAAAATAATAAGGGAAAATAAAACAAAAGGAAGAAAGAACCTGGAAGTTGGGTCCTTAGGCGCGGCACCTGGACTTGGGCCTGAATCAGATGGCAAATTTTGAGTCTCTGCTCCTTGATCTTCGAGATGTTGATCCAGATTGTCAGATTGTACTCCGGGAAAGAGTTGTGCTGAAGGATTTGCTTCTAGGCTTTTGTATTTGATTTGAAATGGTTGTCTTTATTGCTGAATTTTTCTGGAAACAATGTTCTAGATCTAGGGTTTCAGGGGTCTGGGTAGGGTTTAGATCTCAGAATTAGTGTTAGGGTTACGGGTTGAAGGCTAGGGTTTTAGTACTGTGGACTGATTCCCCCAAAATGATTAGGAAAAGGCGTATGTATAGACAAATGCTCCAAAACAGAAAGTAGAGGTCTAGGTTAAATCTAGGCAATCGACATGTCAGCGAGGCGAGTTGCATCTCTAGGCTTCTAGGTCCAGTGACACACTTTGCATTGCTGACAGCTGTCAACTTCTGGTTGATGCAGAATTTCCTAGGATTTATTGTTTTGATATACTTTTATTGATAATTCTGCTTGAAAAATTTCGATTGGACAATTTTATGAATATTGTCTCTCTAATTTGCACTAGGACGTGCCTATTTCGGGATAAAATTGGGTGTTTGGGAATATTATGGGGAATACTCTAAAGTGGACTATGGTTCAGTGTATCCTATGGTGTATTAGGATGGTACGCTCCAGGATTTTAGAACTCAGAAATAAATCTAAATACGCTGGGCCGCTGGCCAAAGACAATCGAGGGACCTCTTCACTTCAGCCTAATGGTAGAGATCAGTATTTGGCTGTTGGGCTGACATTGATATCACTTAGATTTCCTAGCTTTTATAGTTTATCCTCCCTTGATGAGGCATGTTTTGTGGTGCTACTACCTTCTCCTTCTGTGCCATCATATTTTTTGGAACACCCCAAAATGACAACTTTGCGAGAGTAACTCAACCTCTAACTCCGTATTCAAGTGAACTGCATAGATTAGTCCTGCTTTTAGGGGTTCTTTTGTTTTCTTTTTTTGAGTAAAGCTGATCGCACGATATTAATGATCCCCTAACGCATGGCCCAATTTGTACACAAAGGAAAGAAATTAAAGGGAAGAAGTATGAAATACTTGGGCATGCACTATGCTGATTGTGTAATTGGCATGGTAGCACCCTTTTTGGCTAATGCCCTTTGCCAAGGCATTAGCCCTTCTCTAAACATGTCTGACGGTGATAGAAAAGCCAAGAAATCTTGAAAATTTGATAAAAAATGGGCTCAAGTCTCCCAGACCATGGGGAGGAGTTGGGGACGCAGGAAATTACAATCTTAGGTCCCCTTCTGCTGGAAGGTTAACTCATTTTCCAAGCTTTTAGGGCTTCCTTGCTGTTACTGTATACAACATGGATCCCTCCACTCCCATTTGCATCATTTGGTGCCTTTTGAACCCTCCTCAAATAACTGTATCTTTAACTAATAAATGCAACCGCATGATCACCGATTACCCACTCGAACAATCCATAGTTACTGAGATCACGCAAGAAGTGGTCGCTCCAGCTCCGGAAGCTTGATCTTGTGCTCCAAGACCAGGGATCTCGATAGTAGACGAATTTTGAAATTAAGGATCTTAATCCACAAAATTTGGGATCTAGATCCCTGTTTAATGGGATCCTAATCTCTCTCATCAAGTAGAATCGAGCTTTGACTAACATGGTATCAAACTGCTTTTACATTGCTACTGAAAATCACTAGCAAATTTTGAGTCCCATGCATGGACCACCCATCTCTTCCTCAACCCATCCTGTCTCTTAACTTCCTAGCCCATAATATCTCTCTCTCTCTCTGTCTGCAAGAGCATATTTCTCTAAAAATTCTGAAATTAGAATTGGCTTTCAGTATAAAGATCAACCAGTTGAGAAACTGTCTCATTTCCAAGAATGGCAACCAGGGTTTGAAGCTTGAAGCTTGAACTTCGAACTTCTAAGTCTCAAAAATGAACACCATAACATGCATGCTGCTGCCACATTACGTTATGGAACCTGTAAATGAGTGCAGCTGCAAAGTTAAAGCTTTACCATTATTTTCATTTCCCTTACTGGAAGCTCTATAAGCTTTGTACATTTGATCTTTGTCTCTAATACCCCTCTCGTGCCATATCCACCATTACAGAGGCTTTTGCAGGTTGATCCTTTCTTTGCCCCTGGATCCTTTTTATCTTCCTTTGAATTTGGAGTGTTTGACCTGTTGCATGCATAGTCGCATGTAAATGAAAGGATGCAAACCAGAAAAAAACAAGGAAAACCATATTTTCATCAAATACTAGAGCTTCTTTCATGCCTGAGGATAGAAATTTGAATCCTCATTTTGGGCTTTCAGTTTCACTAATCACTTATGAAATACACTCCAATTAAAAATGTTTAGAAAATGGGACTCTTTGTATTCAATGATAATTTAGTTTTTTGAATCAGAAAAAACATTAATGATATCAATCAATGAACTTTGTTCTCGAGCTAGAGTACACTAGTTAAGTGCTTTTGAGGAGCCTCGATTCTAAGCTGGACAGACCTTGATCATATGTACTTCATCCTTAAATCCTGGGCAAATTTGGATCGTGCTTCCTTCATGTTGGGATCATGATCCCTTTTAACTCACAGTCTATGGATCTTGATCCCTATCCCACAGATCTTCATGCGTCTCTCGATCCCACGGTCCTGATCCTGAGCAGATTTGACCTCGCTTCTGATCTCGGTAGCTATGAAACCATCTGCTTGGCTTTCCATAGGTTGCTCTGACCCATCTTGACTCCTGAAGTTTAATGTACTCAACTTCCAATAGGAAACAACTATGGAAATTAATTTTAAAAAGGCAACTTGTCCTCTAATTAGTTTTCTGCATAGAACTTTATGAACGAGTGCTGACCGTCAACCACATCCAAACGAGGGGTGTGCCCTGCCCCAATAGATGCGTCATGGCTGCTACCATTTGGGTGCTTTGGAGGGAAAGAAATAGAAGAACTTTCAGGGGCGACCAATCCACTACTGAGTCCTTGATTGACAAAGTTAGGAAGCTTTGTCTCTTTTTGGGCAAGAAATCATAAGTTCTTTAAAGACTTCTCGATGTTTGACTTATACTGCAATTGGAAGACCTTTTTGCTTTTGGCTACCCCTAGAATTTCTCGCACCTTGCTCTGGAGATTGCCAGAACCAGGCCTGGTTAAGTTTAACTCCCTTGGCAACCCTGGGCCCTCTGGCATAGGAAGCCTGTTTAGAACTCATGACGGTTGCACTTTGCTGTCCTTCTCCAAACCAATTAGTTTTGTGGAGTCCACTTTTGCTGCGGCCTTTGCCCTGTTGGAAGGCCATCTGAAGTTTGATCCCAATTGGAGCCCGGAGCTGGTGGTGGAAGGGGACTCCAAGAATGTCATTGCACGGGCCTCCAACCTCACACCTTGTCCGCGGCGGCTCGACCACATATTCGACGAGATATCTCACATCTGCAGGGGCTTGAGAGTCTCTTGGAATCACGTCTATAGGGAGGCCAACTCCGCGGCCGACTCTTTGGCCAAGGAGGGAGCCCAATTGAACCCCATATCGGGGCCTTAGGCATTTTTGCTCGTTTCTTCTCCCTTACTCTTATCTTTTTGTATCTTTCATTATTTGCTGTAATGCATTTTTTGGACTCCTTTGGGGTTTTTGCATAGGGTGCCCTGAAATTGGGGTGCCTCATTTTTGTACTTCTTTCTTTATGCAATATAGGTAAACGTCCTCAAAAAAAAAAAGTTAGTGTCTTTCCAAGGTCTCTGCTTAGTAACTTTGTATTAATACTGTACACTGGTATTTAAGTAATATGGCTTTCTAGGAAAAACCAAATATTTGAATTTCAGAAGTATTTTCATCTAAAAGTAATGCGGCTTCGTTGCTGTCCTGTTTTCTGTTTAATTTTTCTTATTCTTGTTTTGTGTTAATGATGATTCTCTTGTTCCAGGAGGGGAGTGTGGGACTCATGAAAAGTTTAGAGAAGTTCAAGCCTAAAACTGGTTGCCGATTTTCAACATATGCTTATTGGTGGATACGTCAGGCGATTAGAAAGTCTTTGTTTCAAAATTCCAGAACCATCCGATTGCCGGTACATCTATTTTTTTTTTTTATTTGGGAAAATATCAAAATAAGGGGTTGAAACCACTTACTATATCTCTAAAGGGAGTAAAAGCTTTCAAATTGTACTAAGGTATGCTTTTCAATTTCTATATCAATCAAATGTCATTTAAAAAAAAAGAGAAAAAAAAGAGGTTGAAAATTACCAAAGTACCCCTAATTGTTCTGGCGTCCCACACCAAATAGGGGCTATTTGGAAATTCTTCAACTTTCATGTGTAATTTGTAATCTTTTGATATCTATTTCCAAGCTTTATTTTAAGGAAAAAGTTTATATAATATTGCAACCTTAAAATGTAGAATTAAAAATGCACCTCAAAAATCCATCGGAAAAGTTTGTTTTAATGTTGAAAAACCCTTCTAATTGATAATCTTGACATCAAGATGTATGAATATGAAAAAAAAAAAAAAGATTTTGAGTCCCAAAAATAGTGCATTTTGCAACACATTATCTAGATTGTCCATTTTCAAGATTTTCATATGTTTATAGATCTACTTGATTTTAACCATTTTTGGAGTTAAAAAATTTAATAATTAGATATGAAAATATATTCTCAGATAATCCTAAGAATTTTTTAAACCAAAATTACATGTTATGATAAAATTTGGCGGTGTGCCTTAATTGGATTGTTTAAGGTTGCAACCTTATAGAAAACAAACCCTTATTTTAATGTCCTTTTGGTCTTAGTCAACATATAGTACATGTTTTAGATCTGTTTCTATTTTGTTCTTTCAGTCATCATATATTGAATGCAAGAACAATATTCTAGGGTCTCTCTCTCTCATATCTTGAAGAGTTCAAACCTCTCCTCTCTTGCAACAATGATAATGCCACTTCTCTCATGAGGGTGAGAGAAGGATATTCTTGAACATCATTGTGAGAAACATACATACAGATCAACTCACGCATGGTACCCTATCTGAAGAAAAAGGATAAACATTTTTTATGTTTATTGGAAACAGGAGAATGTATATGGACTACTGACGAAAATAAAAAATGCGAGGAGGCTATATTTTCAAGAGGGACATCGTCCAACTAATGAAGAGCTTGCCCAACGAGTTGGCATTACTGTGGATAAACTGGAAACAGTACGTGTATTTTCAAAGCTTCCTGTCTCGATTCAGCAGCCTGTTTGGTCAGATCAGGATGTCACAATCCAGGTAGATTTTTTTCTCATGTTTATTTCTTCTAAGTAATTTCTGTGGAATTCAGTTTCATTCTGAATATTGAAAAATGAGCACCAAATATTGGTTCTTATAAGATGATCGGCTTTTCTCCAATATTTGAAAATGTTTCTAAGCAATTATTATTTTATGCCTTCTCGCATAGCTGCCATAAATTAATGCTTGTTGGTTGCTGTTATTGTCTTTCCAACAAAATCACCTTTGTTGGAGAACAAACTATGGCCCGTTTTCTCAATGTTACTTGGTTAATAAGCTTCGGTGACCCTTCTCCCTATTTCCTCATACATTTCTGTTTCTTCATGCAACTAAGTAATGTTGTAAGAACTGGTGGTGGCAACAGTCTCTTGTGAGGGCCAGCAAAAGTTATATCTTGTTCCTATTAAATACTATAATAGTTGACTTTCCTCAATAGGTGCATTACATGTTAGCTAATCCTTAAAGAATGAGGTAGTATGGCAATCTACATGTAATCCCATCCTCCTTTTGTTGCATATAGACGGTGGATGGCATGGGGCCCTGGGTGCATACCATATAGCATACATGGGTTGTGTGGTACACTTTTCTTAAGAATTTCAATTGTAAAGGGCATGCTTGTGTGCCTTCATTTCCAATAATTACTTGAATGCATTAATACATTATTGTTGTATTATTGCAGGAGATCACTGCAGATCCTAAGGTTGAAACCCCAGAGAAAAATGTAGCCAAGCAGCTGATGAGGCGGCATGTTCGCAACCTCCTCAGCCTTCTCAATCCTAGAGAGAGGCAAGTAATTAATTTGAGGTTTGGTATCCAAGGTAGAGAGAGAAAGTCTCTTTCAGAGATTGGTGGCATGTTTAATGTATCAAAAGAACGAATACGCCAAGTTGAAAGCAAGGCTTTGGAGAAGCTCAAGAATTGCACTCAAACACAAGGCTTAGAAGTTTATGCAGAGTTACTTAATTGAATCAGGGTAATGTTATTCAAAAAACCCATTTTTCTCCAGTTAGATAATTGTATAAGGTGTTATTTATAGTAAGAATCATTATACAGTGTAAAGTAGGTATTGACTGCCTTCCTCTTTGTTATAAGGGATGTTGTTCTATGTTTCCATGGTAACAGCAGTGCATGGATGGTTATGGATGGATGTATCATATCATTGTATGCTATCATTATTTTGATTTCAATGGAAGTGGTTGTACAGTTAATTCGTGGTGCGTACACACTCTTAGAAATGCAAATACGAGCTGGAAAATGGAGATAATGTGGGAGAATCATGATCAATTTACCTCTGATTTTGCTAGATTATACGGGTGAATACCGAAGATAATGGTTTTCCGAATTCAGTGAAGTATGGTAGGAAGTAATGTACTCTTCGAGGCTGTTCCTTGGAATACAGCCTCTCCCTATGTCCTTAATGCCTCTTTCTCTGATGCTTGCCTTTATGAGTGCAGAAATTCAAGAATTCCTGCCCGTTTTATTCCAAACTTAAAGGCCTTAAGTAATGGTGATTACGCCATTATATAGGTCTTTTATTTTGAATGGAAAATTTTGTGATCATTTGGTTTTCTTTATCCTTTACTAGTAACATTGAAGTAAAGGGCGATTAGTACATTCCAATTTGCACTCAAACAGGTGTACAGAAATGGAAACTTATATATATCAAAGAAGAGGGATTGAGGGGGAGTGTTCTGCTCATAAAACAAATGGGTTTTGGTGAATGCAAATGTGGTTTGTTTGTATTGAGAAAATCAAAGTGGGGTAGGTTTTGGTGAAGACAGAAATGATTTGTGCCAATGGATACGCGAGAAGAGGGTTCATTTGTACATATGAAGAACTTAATCTTACTGCAATATTGAAACAGTTGAAATTTTCAACTATTCATCCTAGTTTATTAAACATACTACAAATTGGTAGTTTATATATATGTTTGTCATCTTCATGCAATCATGGCCTTCAGTTTTTATTAGTTTAGTTGTAAGAATGATACATCATCACATTAAAAATAGTCGATAAATAAAGTTAATCACTAATCGAGAATCCTAATTACTTTTAGGAACTTATGGAATCATAATAAGTTTTCCGTACATATATAGGGTTAATTTTAAATTTTTATACTTGCAATTTCAAATTTTTGACAAGAAATATATCGCTCTCCATGCATGTATAGTATTAATTTAAAACTTTTATAATTGCAATTTCAAAATTTGTTTTTGACAAGAAATATGAAGCTTTCAAATTTCTTACTTCTTAATTTACAATATTTTATTTTTCGAATGAAAATTTGTCGAAAGGCATGGAGATTTGGGCTTCACATTCTCTCCGTCATAGTAGGAATATCTCCAGCCTTATTTCATAAGTATAGAACTAATATTCTTATAAAGAAGGAATGTGAAGCTTCTTATTGCTAATTTTTTTATTATGAACTTTTATCCACTAAAAAAAATTATCAACTTTGTTTTCTTAAATATTCTTAGAAAATTCTCATTTGTGATATCTATATATAAAAAATAAAAGATCTGAAATTATGTATATTTGTTTTAAAAATTAATTAATTCCCTTTGACTGAAGTTTAAGAAAGACATGATACAGGAGTCTACTTATATCGTAACCTTTTGAGAGAGAATCCAAGGATTGGAAGATAAAAAATAAATTTACTGAACATGGTTGGAGAATTTTTCAAAGCTATTTAAGGAGGGAGATGGTGAGGAATGGTAAACTTACTTGTTGTTTTAAGAGAAAAGTTATTTTTACTCCTATTTATTTTCTCTTATCAAATATGGATAGAAATGGCTCAACCAAAAAAAAATTAACAGTGGTCGAGCTATTCAAGATACATATAGGAAATACGATACAAGAAATATAATAATAGAAATAATATAACGAACCAGTCAATAAAATTTGGAAAAAAAAAAATTCCGTTGTCAAATTTTTATTTTTTTATTTGGGAAAAATTGCAACATTTATAAATAGGTGCTTTTAGTTGGCGTTACAAAGCATACTGTCCCTGCTGTTTTTCTAATTCTTGATGACCTATAAAAGACCTACTGAGAAGAGCGTCGAAGAGACATTCAACAAAAGAAGAACGTACATAGAGGCTGTCAACATCGTTGTGCAGCAGCACTGTTATGTTTTGAAAGTAACTTCAGATTTTTATGGGAAATTCCTCAAAATATGCAAAAAGATTAACTATTTAATGTTTTACTTCTTTATCAAAAGAGAAAGTTTATATAAGGTCGCCATATTATACTTTTGAAGTAAGGTGTGCTGTAAAAATCCTATAGAAGAGAGTGTTCCGGTGTTGAGAAACCTTCTAATTATCAATCTCGATCTCGATATGTACGGGCGTGAAGAAAAAAATAACCACGTCTAAAAAATTGTGCATGTTGTAACAAATTATCTACACCGTCTATTCTCACGATTTTCAAGTGTTTATTGATCTACTCGATCTGTATCACTTTTGAAAATTTAAATTTTATAACTAGGGATGAAAATAGATTTCCAACATGGAACGGCATCTGTAAGCAAAATTTAGAGGTGTGATGTACTTATATAGTTTAAGGAGAACCTAGAAACCTCAACCTTTATCAAAATATATTGTACTTTAAATCTCAACCATTGTAACTCAAGATTGGTATCTTTTGATGGGTGTTTGAGATTAAACCAAAGATTCAGACACTTGTTTTCCTCAAAATGCCCTCCAATCCGCCTATCGATCGTGACTTTCCATATATCACTGGGAAACTTGTTGAGTCGAGATAAAAACACAATAAACCCCGTGTAGAGATTCTTCCCAGATGAGAAATCAACAAAGCATCTTTGGCAAGTCATGGGGATTGTGTTCTCTTAAAGTGTCTCATCTTCTTGTTGAGTTGTGCATGGAAGAATCACACACCAAACACAACACAAGCACCATGATCACTAAAGGATCATCATCGTCATCATCAAAACTTTGTCCCAACTGATTGGGATCGGCTAAATGAATATTGGTCTGACGTTCTGTCTTATTAAAGGTTATACTTTTAGTGAGATCATAAGTTATCATATATTTTCTCGCTACTTTTACTCATGCCTTTTTTGGCCTACCCCTTATCTTTTTTTAGCCTTCCACTTGAGCTAACTCACACCTCCTAACAGGTGTTGTACTAGGCATGTGCCACATAAGGCCAAGCCACCTAAATCTACTTTATCTCATCTTATCACCTATTAGTGCCACACCTAAATTCTCTTGGATGTATTCATTTTAAATTCTAACCCTTATTGTTTTGTCACTCATCCACCTCAACATCCTCATCTCAGCGACACTCATTCTATGGGCATTTTTTTTGACCGCCCAACATTCCACCTCAAAAGTAAAGTTGGTCTCATAGTTGTTCTATAGAACCTATCCTTCAGCTTCATTGATATACAATGATCACATAAAAATCTCGTTGTACATCTCTACTTCGGCCCCTAGTTCTAATCCTATGTACGCCATCTTCTTTAATCTCTTCATTTTTCAGGATTATCGATCATATAAAAAATGCACTTTTTTTTGTATTTCTTGGCTTGCAATATTAACTACTTCCTTGTCGCTACTCATATTATGACTACTTGCATTCCATAAACTTTGTCTTTGTTTGGCTTATCTTAAAACTTTTATATTCTAGAGCATCCTCCAAAGTTTTAACATTATGTTGATATCGTTTCGGGCCTCATTGATCAAAACTATGTTATCCGTAAACAACATGCACTACAATATCTCATTTTGTAGGTGCCTAGTTAAGCCGTCCATAACTAAGACAAGGAGGTATGGGCTCAATGCTGACCCCTGATGTAGACCTAGTCACTTAAAAGTCACACATCTCTCCACAAATTGTTTATACAATAGTTAGCGGTCCCTCGTACATATCTCTTACTAAATCGATGTGGTATTTGAAGACTCATTTCATTTTCAACACCCGCTAAATTCAATATTTAGGTATTCTATTATAAACTCTCCTTAGATCAATAAAGACCATGCGGAGGTATTTTCCCTTCGCCCTAAACTTCTCAATCAGTTGTCTAAATAAGAAAATAGCTTTGGTTATTAACCTCCTTGGTATAAAATGGAATTGACTTTCTAATTCACTCGTTTCATGCCTTAGTTGTTGCACAATCACTATCTCCTACAACTTCAAAGTGTGGCTCATAAGTTTTATCCCTCGGTAGTTTATACAATTTTGTATGTCTTCTGGTAAATATGTACCACAATATTTTCTTCCATTTGTCTGGCATTTCTTTTGTTTTCAACACTTTGTTGAACAACTTATTCAACGAATCAATGCCAATATCCCCGATGCACTTCCAAACATCTATAGGAATACCGTCAGGTCCTAAAGCCTTTCCTATCTTCATCCTCTTTAAAGCTTCTTTCACTTTCGATATCCTAATCCTGTGAATATATATATGCCCTCCGCCCTCATTTTTGCCAATGGTCCTTTCTACTACTATGTTCCCATTGTGTTCGTCTTTTAGTAATTTTTTAGAATAAACTCCACCTTTCGTTGGCCTCTTCATTTTTCACCAAAACCTTTTGATCTCACTCTTAATGTATTTAATATGGTCTAAAGCCTTGCACTTTTTCTCTCTCAGTTTTGCTGAACTTTTTCTTTCTCATATTTGCCAATTTGAGGACATCTTTTTCATATATTATATTTCCTAGTTTACTACATAGATTATCATATGCCTGAAATTTAGCTTTAGGTACTATTTGTTTAGCATTTTTCTTAGCATTATTATATTATACTAAGTTTTGATCGTTTCTATTACATTGACAAGGTTTATAATATGATCGTTTCTCGATAATTACCTTCTAAACCTCATCACTTTACCACCAAAATTTATTATCAGAATTTCTTCTCCCTAGATTCTCTTAAAACTTCTTTTGCCATTTTCTTACTGCAGTTAACCATCTCTTTCCATATAACCTTGACATCATGTTCAAAGTTTTATTTTTAAAAAAACTAATTTATCCCTAAATAAATCTATTTTTTCATTTTTTAAATTCTACTACCGAGTTTGTAGACACCTATTAATTTATCCTATTCTTTGTCATGTATTTATGCAGATGCTGATCACTACAAGCCTGTATTGGATGGTCAATCTCTCTCCTGGGATAATCTTACAATCTTTACATGACTAATAGAGGATAATAGGCGTAAAGAAATAACAAAGATGCAAGAGCTTG